CCCCTCCTCCAGCACCGCAACCACCCCTCTCCCCCTGTGCTGCCTGAACCGCCTCCAGCGCCTCCTGTCCTCCTCCGCCCGACCCCTATCTCGCCTGAGCTCCGACGCCCCTGCTCACGCCTCCAACCGCGCCCAAACCCGCCAGCGTCGCCGCCCCCAGCCGCCCCTGACCGCTGCTCCCCTCCGACCAGATCTCCGGCCGTCACCCCCGCCAGCCGCGGCTGCCTCCTCCGCCCCCTTGACCGCCGACGACCTCCCTCATCATCACCACTTCGCCACCAGCCAAGCCCTCTCCCCTGCGTTCACCTCAGCCTCGAACACCGCCTCGACCACCACCAGATCCCCTTCTCTGAGCTCCTCCCTCCAACAGCGACCCCCGAGCTCCGACGACGCGCACTGCGTTCAGATTCGTCAAGCCGACATCGCCGTCCAGCTCCACCACTAGTTCTTCGAACCGCTGCACGCATCGCCGGAACAGTGAACAGAAACTAGCAGCATCGCCGCCTTGTCATCAGGCCCCATTGGCCTCGTAGGCAAGATTCCGCTCCTCTTGACTCATCATTTCCAATTTATAGCTGTCATTATTTAGTTGCATAAATTAGATTATGATTTGTTATTATCTACGTCAGCTTGATGATGAATTGGTGAATTATCTGATTATGTTAATTTATAATTGTTATTATCTGCGTGGGTTTGATGAATAAAATTGATTTAAATCATAGTTATGTGATAAATAGTATTTTCGAAATAATGATAATGAAGTGAAAAAATTTATTTTGATAACGGAATTATTTTGGAGAATTTATAATATTTAAAAAGAATTTATTTTGAGAAAAAAAATTATTTTAGAATAATAATTGATGAGAAATAATTTTAAAGAATTTATTCTAGGAAAGAGAATATTTTGAATTATTATAATGAGAAATAATTTTTTAAAAAGAAATTATTTTGGGAAATGAATTATTTTCTGAAGTACGTAGTTGCTGATTCATGATTACATTTCATGTTTGTGATTATTTTACTGTATTTGACATGTCTGCTTTTATTGTTCCTGATTGTATTGAGAATCGTTAGTAGCTTATGACTAGAATGACCTGTGTGACGTGAGTAAGACCTAGAGACTCGTGTGTTGTTGTCTTAGAAAAGCGAGAAGAGTTGGGATGAGGAAGTCATGGTTCATGTAATTGGATAAGACTGTTGATATATCTTCCAGGTTCGTACCAGTGGATCAGTGTCGCCACTGGGGTTGGTATGTTGAGTCACAGTGGATCGGTGTCGCCACTGGGGGCTGATTGGTTGGGTCAAAGTAGATCGGTGTCGCTACTTTGGTTCATGAATTTATTTGATTGGATGCACGTGGGGGATATGCGAACAGTCAGTTATCCGATGATATGAGCG